GCCTGGGGGGGGGGGACACAAGATGCCGTGAGCCACAGTACCCCCTACCTCACAGCGCTGCCAACGTCAAATCAACGAAAACGTGAGACTGCTCCACCTGGGAAACTGATCAAGAGTTTAATAAAGCATCCCTTTTATTACCCAAAACAAGGTACGCAGAGCATCAGACAAGCATGAGATATACACTCAAATATTCACCCATCGGCCCTGAAAGATTAATGGCTCTTCTCTCCCGATGTGCAGCACTGCTAGTAATTACTCCTACTGGTGGGAAGAAAATTCTCAACTTGTACTGCCTAAACTTCTCTGGTAAAGTTCCCCTAACAGTTGGAAATCTCTGCCCCCTGGATTTTAAAAAGTGACTGAAGCCAACTTCCCTCATCCAAATCTGCATGAAATTTCTTTGAAGATTTTTTTTGTTTATTTTTAAAATCCATATACATTTTTCATTCTACTGGTTACTACATTTCTGTTTTCTTTGGGGTAAAAATAAAATTTCCCTAAAATACTCTAGTAAAATCGAGGATCCAGGAATAAGGGCCACCTTTACCCTGAGGCTTATGGAACCTGCGAGCACACTGTACCTTTATTCATGCCCCAGCCTCCCTCTAACAGCACAAGACCCAAGCTTTCAGCAATAGGTCCAAGGACTTCAGTGAATAACCAGAAATTATAACAGACTCTCAATTCAGACTCATTCTAAAAAGGTAATAGAGAAGTATAATCTCATTTTGTCCTCAAAACGCTCCTGTAGGTAGGTAGTAGTACATGAATTTTAGATGATGGAACTGAGGCACATGGTGATAAAGCAGAAAGGCTGAGATCTGAACCACAGTAGCTCACTCCAGAGCCTACCCTCTTAGCCATTACATGGACTACCTTTCTGTAACCTGAGAAAAACTCCCTTTTAACTGACTAATCTCTCTGAACAATATTAAAAGTGAGATTCTAAGCAAACCTCTCTCTTTAACTACTCTCTTTAACCTATTATTCCTTTCTAATAATGAATTCCTGCTTATTTTGGCCTCAAAGTCTTATTGGAAGATACTCCTTGATGCCTTAATAGTGTCTAACACTTGTACCTTCTCAGTGAAATTAGTTAATTGATTTTTTTTTTAAGCCAAAAGTAATCAAACCTATTTTCCATTTCAGTAAGGGGCCAGAAAAGAAGTGTTTGGGCTTAAATTGTTTTAAGGAAGAAATATATAGTGAGGGACAGCAGGCTGGGTGTGGCAGGATGCCATTCTGCTTTTCTCCCTGAAGATGAGGAAATAACCCCAGTGCCTTTCAGTGGTGGAGTAGAAAGAGCACCAGACTGGGAGTGACAGAGGCTGTGGTCACGGCTGTGACACGTGTGGGTAGACCTGGGAAAAACATTCTAATTGTTTAGGCCTCCACTGTATGTGGAAAATACGAGTCTTTTCCAGTGCTAACACTCTGAGTTATAGGCCCACACATTCTTTCACTTCCTTATTTCTTTAAAAGATAACCCTGTCTGGTGTGTGTGGGAGAGAGGCGTCCCTTCCTTTTGTTCTTCTCATTTCAAGAGCTGGCATCAAGGAACAGTGGGTAATATAAAATGCTACGGTGAATAACTAAAAGACAATGATATCTCACTTCCAAGGCTAAGTTTTAAATGGAAATGTGGTCCAGGTATGAGAATAGCATAAAGGAGTCAATCCTATCTGGAATCAAACAACAGGCTACAGATGGCCATTCAGGTCTCTCACAACCATATTTCTCTTCTCAGATCACTAGTACAGACACAGCATAGCTGAAATACCAACTGTGCCAACCTTTTAATTCAACCAACACAGCTTATCTTCTGAATAAACTAATAATGGTAAGGATATTCTCTTTATAAAAGTCAAACCATAATGGTAAAGATATAAAACTGTGTAATAAAACTAATGAAATGTTTATCAGGTATTTATATTAAAGACTTAGCCACTTAAGAGGGAAGGAAAATACCGCTCCAATCCATGAATATCAAAGAATTATATAACAAGTGTTTTCTTTTCCAAAGCACTTGGAAATAAATCAAGATACTTCCAAGGATTTTGTTTTGTCTCCTGTGTTTCTATGGACTTATGTAAGGCATTTTCCAATGTTAATACTTCCCTCTTTTCCTCATGACAGCTGAAGTTCAGATGCTTTCTTAGCAAGACGCCCCCCCTTAGCAGAGCTTTAAGGACTACAAATCTTTCAAGTCAACCTCAAACACCTGACAGGGCAGGCAGTTCCTGGATAACTGCACTGTCCCACAGAAAGGAAACAAAAAGAAAATCCTGTCTATTAAAGAAAGTGAAACTTTCTTCTTTCCTTTTAAATGACAACTTTTTCTTACTAGAAACTATGTTAATCATATAAAACATTAAAAAATATAAGTAAGCAAAAAGAAAACTAAAGGAACCACTCAGCATCCCACAACCCAGAGACAACCTCTGGTAATAGGCTAGCAGGTTCCTTTTCATGTTCACTTTTTACAAATGGAAGCATATTATTCTGCCATTTAAAGGCAGCTTTTTTGACTTAAAATACTGAAAATATTTCCCACATAATTACAAGATCCCTTTTAATGACTGCCTAGTATGCCAGTAACAGCAGCACCATGCTGCAGTAAATCAACCATCACTGCTGGACTTTGGGGAGTCCCATGGCTGCTCACTCCTGAAGCACGTTCTCTACACCCTCCCACCTCCCCCAACATAACCGCAGTGCTGCCGCTAACTCCTCTGCATTCATTTGGGGACAGAAGCCTGATAGCACCCACTACTCGCTCTGAGGGGTAAATACCAACCTGACAACATGGAGAGGCGGCCAGGATGTCATAGGTGTACATGGTGCCCAGCTGGTGCCAGCTGCCATCCCACCGCGACTTACACTTGATGCAGATGATCTTGTGAACCCCTTCCAGGCAGTCCACGCACACTGCATACAGATGCATGAGCCTCCCTGTACACAGAAGACACGATGCTGAGAGTGGCTGGCCAAGAAATCACCTTTTGTCACCAAAGGGGATTAAAACAATGGCTCATCTATCAGTTATAAGCAAAACTTTATCATTTGAATAAATATATAAAGCAAAATAGATGATATTTATCATATATCCCCAAGTTGTCCTTTTACAATAATGATGGATTACTAACTATTGTCAATGGGACACATACTTTAAGTTCAATCTTATTAAAATACCGGCTTCAGTGGGACACATACTTTAAGTTCAATCTTATTAAATACCGGCTTCAATTCATTTTTCCGAAAAGTGCTGCCAGGTTTATAATATGGACGTCCAAACTCAAAAAGACCAAGCCACAGATGCTCAAAAGCAGCCTGTGATCATGCAGGACTTTCTGCTCAGAGATCTACTGTGGATTATGGAGGCTGAACCAGCAATGTTGGTCTGTGTTCGTGGGCTCTCATCCATCAACAAGTCCCATCATAAAAAAATCCAAAGTCTGTCTTGGTATTGGTAGCCCAGAATTATACCATAGTGAAAATTACTATGTTAACTGTTCTGGTCTCCAGAATTGCTCATCCATCACCACATCCAATTTAGGAACCAGAATTATATCTTACTTGTGTTTTATTTTTTTTCAAAGGAGTTCAATGTCTTGTTATTTACTGGGCTCTTGAAAGTCATAAGCCCATTCCTCCACTATGTATCAATATCTAACGCTTGTGAAGGAAAGATGTCACCCTAGTTTATATGGAAGGGTTCAGGTTCAAATCGGGGAAGAGCTGGAATGTCCAGCGTCTGTCTGGGCAATGTGTAACAACAATAACACTGCTCTCTATGTGGGGATCGGGGGTTCCACTGTGCTAAAAAACTACCAGCAGCAGAATACATACTCCTAAGTGACTTCTTATTCAGAGTGTGCTGCTCGTTGCCACCAGCCAGACCATCCTCTTCATATTTTCAGTGGTTAAGGACCAGCCTGCTCCTTACACATTAGAAAGGGGTATACAGAACTTGCAGGGAAATCTTTCATTTCATTCATTTACGAGACTCTCTCTCCCCCTCCCTGAGGGCGGGAACTATGCCCTCCTTGAAGGCTCAGTGTCTTGCACAATATCTGGAACGTGGAAAGCACTCCGTAATTGTACGTTACATGAATGGATGGGATATATTAACAGCCTAAGACGTTATAACCTTGGAGGTCTCTATGCCAAAAAATGGGAAGGGTGACAAGAGCTTCTTGCAATACTGCCCACCTCTGCTGTAGGGCATTGAAAATAAAACAATCTCACACTCAGAGTGGCCTGGGGCATTTCAGGATGTCAGTTCAATATCTAGCAGCCACTGGAAAAGGCTTCATTTCCAATCTCCGTCCTAGACGGAGTTCTCAAACAGTGCAGATCTCAAACATTCAAAGACATCAAGGTGGCTGCTAGGAAGGGTGGGGACAGGGACAGACAGAGAAGTCACATGTTGGTGGCAATGATCATGATGATGAAGTTGACAGGGAACTTTCACTGAGTGCTTACCAAGGATCTGACACTGTGCTAGGAGGCTACATGAATCATTTCATTTAACCCTCACAACAACCCTCTAAAGTAGGCGTTACTGTTATTCCCACTTCAGATAGGAGGAACTGAAGCTTAGAGAGCTGGAATAGCTTGCCCGAGTTCAAAAAGATAATAAATAGCAAAGTCCAGACTTGTGTGACTCTTAACCTCCAGGCTACATCACGGGAATTCCTGGCTGGGAATTTGTTTCAGTTACTGTTATACATTGTCCTAAATACTGAGAATTTAAAATTTCTAAATTCTAGGGTTGTGAGTTCAAACAAAAAGCAGATTTCTGAGAGAATAATTACCTATGGTTCTAAGTGGTAAAGAACTGTTGTACCAAAAGAAATTCCTAACTCAATCAACCTTAATAAATTATTTAAACCAAACAAAAACATCTTCTTCTGGAAAAATCAGGGAAGAGAGGCTGCAGCTGGAGGCTGGGGAGGGCACTGAGGGGGAAAGGGCCCAGAGCAAGGGAATGACAATCCACATGGTCCACCACTGGAAATTACACATTATTTCAGCAGCGTATAATCAACTGCAGCCTGGAATCCTGTGGCCTGGAACGTGCCTTCCTACTGGAACTGAAAATGCTTTAAGGAATACATGGTTGAAACTCTGTGATGGAAGAAATTATTGACACTGGCTTGTTATAAAAAAAGATGGCATGGACTTCGAGATGTGGCAATAAAAACACGGACATATGCCAAGGCCCCACTTACGGCATTGACTTGTCTGGTGCTGATAAAACACCAGATCCTCAGATTTTATCATCAACAGTTAAACTTCTCAAGACTTCTGTAGTGCACACCTAACGCATCCATTATCTATTTGGATAATGTGTGTATGTACTTAGGTGTGTACACACACACACACACACACACACACACACACACGTACAGAGAATTCTTAGGCCTGTCTAATTTTTACCTTTCTCCATCCACTCTGATGGGTACCCTTAAGATCTGGTCCTGGGCTCTGTCATATACTCCTCCTTCTTTCTCTTTTCTCCCCATTCAAGGCCTCTTCCACTCTTTTAGCCACTAATTTTATAAAATAAGCTTCAGTGTTCATCCTAAATGTTTATTTCTAATAGCGCTTGTGAAAGACACCTCCACAGAAAAGTCCCAACATCTCTTCAAACCCAATACACACAAGTACCCCATCTTCCTTCCTCTAAGATCAGGTCCCTTCCCCAACTTTCTCTTCTCCTGTTCGTGACAATACCGTTTACCTGGTCTAGAGCCAAAGTGAGCCAACAAGGACACATCTTTACCCCGTACAGTAAAGCTGTCTCCAAAGCTGTGATCTTTCCTTTAATATAATCTCTTACAGCTGTTCCCACCTTTCAATTCCCCACCATCACCACCCAGCTGTCTCTCTTCTCCTTGCATCTAGAATACAGATTTAAGTTTCAACTGTATAGCTTCCACCCCTTTCAAACAACTTTTCCCCCAAGCAACCATTGGCTTTAAAAAAGGAAAATTGTTAAACCCTTCAATTCATCAATATGGCAAAGCTCTTTGTTATGGCTCGAAAGGACACCCACCATCTGTTCTCCACCTACCTTACTCATTTCCTACTCTAGAACCTCTGCTCCAACCAGATGGTGCTCTTCGGTTCTCTCACTGTCTCCTGACAGTCTTATGAACAACTATTCCTTTGCTTACATTACTCCTTATCAACAAACCCCCAGTGTAGTTAGACCGTGTACTTATCAAAGTCCAGTGCCCCTCTTGACACCTGCCTTCACATTACCTCCTTTGACTACCAAAGTGTCCCCTTCCTCTTTGGAAACGGTACGTTGCTTCACGTACATAATATCCAGGCGATACCAGTTCCAAAGGTGGTACTAGTGCCTTAGGCCTGGTAAAGTTAGTTACACTTTTGCAAATGCATCTTATATCCTAAGATTATAGACTGATGAGTGGCAAGGACTGATAGTACCCAGTACAAGTATGCAATTCATAAGTTTGATTGACTGGTGAACAGATTAAATGAAAAGGATTCGTCCATCATGAATAGAAAAAGGACAACTCTCCTTTCATGTACCCTGTACCCTTGTCCCCTCATTCATCTTCATAAAGAATATTTCCAATCATAAAATGGTGAAGTGAAGATGTTTCCATCTACTTCCCTCTAAAATTATCCCCACGCAGTATAAAGTACAAGTAACAAAATACAAATTCTGTCTTCCATGAAACTATGAGGTACTTGCAACCCTGAATATGAGATCAGAAATTAGATGGAGAAGTAATAAATGGTTTAGCTCTGAGACTGGAAAACAAGCACAGGGGAGGTTGAGACGAGGTGCTGGAAGAGAAAGAGTGGGGTATAACAAATTACTAAATAACCACACATTCTATATAACTTTTTTCATCAAGAAGCAGAGTCTGTTGAATCATCCCCTGAATCTGGGATAGCCTTACAACTTAGTTTTTTGAAGAACAGAATGTGATGGAAGTGAAGTTACTCAGTCCCAAGCTTAAGCCTCAAGAGAGAGAGGCCATGCAGCTCCATTCTCACCATCTTTAATGCTATCCTGAGAACACCATGTGAAAAAGCCCAGGCTAGTCTACCGGCAGATGAAAGGATATATAAACAGGGATAAGCCATTCTAGCTGAGGCTCCCAAGGCCAGCCAGACTGCCAACTGCTAGACATGTGTGAGAGGCCATCCTAACCAACCAACTCATAGAACTGTGAGAAATTATAAATCATCACTGTTTTACACCACTAAGTTTTAGAGTGGCTTGCCCTATAACAAAGGCTAAAAGACACAGGATAGTAGGCAAAACTCTAGAAAATGAATGACACCACCCCTCGCAAATTCAGCTCCCTTTCCCTGCTGAGAAAGATGAAACAGAAATAGCATGCATGAAACAAGAACAGGATGCTATTAAAAAGAACTTCTGGAAATTACAAATATAATAGATAACAGAAAATCTTAAACTCGGTAAAAGTACTGGAATATAAAACCAGAAAAATCTTCCAGAAAGCAGTATAAAGATAAAGAGATGAACAGGGCCAAAAATATACATAATAAAGGATCTCCCCCCCTCCTCAAAAAAAAAAGGATCAATCTAAGAGGTCCAACATCTGATTAACTGTTCTACAGAGAAGAAAGAAAGAAAGAAAGGATGGAAGGGAGGAAAGAAGGGAGGGAAGGAAGGAAGGAAGGAAGGAATGAAGGAAGAAAGAAAGAAAGAAAGAAAGAAAGAAAGAAAGAAAGAAAGAAAGAAAGAAAGAAAGAAAAAATGAAAATGGGAAGAAATCATCAAAGAAATAAATCAAAAGAAAATTTCCCCAAATCGAAGACTATAAGTTTACAAAATCAAAAAGCCAAGAAAGCATCCTGCCCAATAAATGGAAAAAAAGACATCATGGTGAAACTTCAGAATACTAGAGAAAATCTAAAAACCTTTGGAGGATGGGAAGGAGAAATAAAGGGCCAGGAATAAGAATAATATTAGATTTCTCAGTAGCAACATTGGAAGACAGGAGACAGTGAAGTAACGCCTTCAAAATTCCAAAGGGAAAATAATTATAACTTGGAAGTGTGAAGACAGAATCAAGATACTACCAGACTTTCAAAATCTCAAAACATCTATTCCCATGCTTCCTTTCTCAGAAAGCTCCTAGGGGATGCTTTTTAACAAACTGAGGAAATTTACCAAGAAAAAAGAGAGTACAGGATCTAGGCAACAGAAGATAAAAAATAGGAAAGAGATGAAAGAATTCCTAGAAGGACAGCTATGTAGTACAGCAGGCATTAAGTGCAGCAGGGCAGACAGGAGCAGGAGGATGAAAGGCTCCATGAAGGAAATTTCTAGAAAAAAATTCATAAAAATGTTTGACAGGTATGTGGACATGTTTTTGAAAGGTGCAGAGCTGCTGCACCTTGTAGAGCTGCACCTTGTAGAGCTGCTGGAGAGTTAGAACCACCAGCCAAAGCTTCAAAAGAAAAGCCTAAGCAAATGAAAATGTGAAGCAATTATTAACTTTGATAAAAACAAAAGGAGTCCCAGAGCATACAGTTCTCTAAATAGGAAATACATCTATACTTCTTGGCTCAGCACTAAATATTTATATACTCATAATAACAAAATCATGAAGGATTTAACTAAGAATTGTGCTGGATTATCCTGAGAGAAAGGGGAAGATGCAAGAAAGCATGAACCATCATCCACCTTAAAAGTAAACCTAGAGGTAATATGTAAAAATGGAGAATGAAGATAGCAGTTTTAAAATTATGATGGTAAAAACCTGAAGAATCAGTTAAGATTTGAAAGTGTCTCACTCTGAGAAGTGAGACAGCAGGGGTGGGTGGGAAGAAGATAGGTGGGGATATATCATTTTTACTATAGGCTTTTTAAAGCACACTTTTAAAGTTATAAACGGGTTATATGTCATGGATCCCATATTTATATAAATTCAGTAGTTTTACATGAACTGACAGATTTCTCTGTCAACTGACCCACCCCCTGTTATTCATTTTCTGGCTGAAATGTCCCAGTCTTTGTATGTCAGCCACAGCACGAATAATAAGAAGCTCCCCACGCCTCTCCACCAGGGTAATATCTGAGCTTTCATTTTCCTTTTGCTGCTATCAAGAAAGTCTCACCTTTCATACATTTCAAGATTAATTCAACTAATCTAAAAACACATTGACCCTTCCCTCGCTGTGTTATGTTTACAAGGATCAGAGAGAATACACAGCTTGCTGGGCACAGTAACATAGGTTTCAAAGGCACCTATTTTATAGCAAGTGAAACATTTTAATGCAATTCCTTCTCTAAAGTTCCTCCCAATTACGAAAAACTATACACCTGAATCCTCTCTTCAAATTACAGCGAGACAGAAACATAAAATTACCCACCAGGACCACTGTACTTGGTATAGTGTGACATCAGAGGAAAGGACACCACCTCACTGGGCAGAGCTGAAATATTCAAGTTAGCTAGCTCCTGACTAGAACAAAAACACGTCATCAGTTAAAATTAAGCCCCAACAGAGCCATCCCTTCATGTTGGCTTTTCACTTCTCACAAACAGAAAACAGGCAAGGTGAGCGAACACCTGTACCTTGAAGGTGACAGGGAACATCGTATTCGATCTCATCGTGTCTCGAGGGGCTTAAGAACAGAGTTCCGTCCACCAGCGGGAACTGCTCGAACACCGGGAGTGCCCGGTGGCACAGGGCACAGTTCACCACGTTCCTGTGGCTGGCGCTGAGGGCCGCGAGGATGAACTTCCGCAGATCCTCGCCCTGGCCCATCTGGGCATCGTCCTCCACCCGCACGTGGAAAGTGTTCAGCTTGTGCCGGGGGATGTGAGTGAGGAGCTCGGACAGGTCCAGGCGCCGCAGGAACTGCACGGGCGCGTCGAAGTGGCCCCCCCTGTGAACTGACAACCCGGCCGGACTGTAGTCAAAGTGGGCGTTTCGGAACACGTGGCCCCCCGCCAAGGCCTTCTTGTGAGGCTCCAGGTGGATGGCGTTCTTTAGGAACTCCCCGAGGTACCTGGAGGAGCGGGGGCCGCTGAAGTGGGCGGGGGAGAGGATGGAGTAGCCAGTGGGCGGGGACTGGCCCGGGGAGCCGCAGGGGGAGCGCGCCCCGTAGGCCGCGGCCCCGCCGCCCTTCTCCTGGGAGTTCTGCCGGTCCATGGAATGCCGGCGGGGGAGGTCGTGGCTCAGGCCTTTCTGGGGCTTGGTGGGCGGCCGGCACTTCTTGGCCTCCTCCACTGCCTCACCGGGGGGCCTCCCGGTGTTCCTCTCCGAGCCCGACTTCTTCTTTTTCTCATCCTGCATCCGCTTCACCTGGTACCAGTCCGTGTCCTTCTTCAAGTGGCCCTGGCCGCAGCGGCAGGAGCAGAAGCGGAAGGCCAGGTCGTAGCCCTTCTTGGTCCACATGTTCTGGCGGCACTGCTTCTCGTTCCAGCTGCGGGCCCGGCCGATGCAGTTGAACTGGACCAGGATGCTGCTCTCCCACTCGTAGAAGCACTGCAGGTGCATCCAGGCGCTGTGAGGGCAGTGCTCGTTGTTGCACACCACCTTCTGGTAGTCGTCCTTCTCCAGGTCAACCGGCCTCCCGAGGCTGCAGAGCAGCGGCGTGGCGCAAGGGGCTTCTGGGGAGAAACAGGAGAGAGAGAGAGTCAGCTAGCGGCTGCGGGATTCCAACCCACGGCCAAGTTGAGACCAAAGCTACCATCCCACCTTAGCCCATTCACGCCAAAGGTACAGTTTTTCTGGTGCGGAGATTTCTACTACTGGAATAACACCAGACAGCGTTCAAAAACATTCACCATTTTCTTCTGGTGTGATGTTGTACCAAGGGAATTTACTTTCTGATTATCCGTTCTCTGCTGAAAAACATACCGGTAAGCTTCAAAAAGTCCAAATCCTCCACAGTGCAATTAGCCGTATGTCAGTACTTGCAACAGTGTAGTATGAGGTCTTCCTGAGACGTGGGTGTAAGGAAAGGCAGTTTCAGGGTTCTTTTAAAAATGAATCACTCCTGGGGCTTCCCTGGTGGCACAGCGGTTAAGATTCCGCCTGCCGATGCAGGGGACACGGGTTCCAGCCCCGGTCCAGGAAGATCCCACATGCTGCGGAGCGACTAAGCCCGTGCGCCACAACTACTGAGCCTGCGCCCTAGAGCCCGCGAGCCGCAACTACTGAGCCTATGCGCCTAGAGCCCGCGCTCCGCAACAAGTGAAGCCACCGCAATGAGAAGCGCAAGCACCACAACGAAGAGCAGCCCCCGCTTGCCACAACTAGAGAAAAGCCCACGCACAGCAACAAAGACCCAGTGCAGCCAAAAATAAAATAAATAAAATGAAATTTTAAAAAACCCCACACCATTCACTTTATAAAAACAAACAAACAAAATGAATCACTCCAGTGAACTAGGAAATATGACAGCCACTGAACCAACAAGTTCAGATGGTAGCTCCAAAAGGGCCCTCGAAACACTATCACGGGATTTAGGTTATACTGAATACCACAGAGAAAAGAAGACAGACTTGCCTCATATAATACAACATGCCACCAAACGAAGCGGCAGAAATGATGGGACCCACAAAGCCTATGGCTATATTACAAATCATCCCCTTCAGTGTCGGATTCCAGGAACTTAGCAAAATGGCCCAAACTGACTTGTCTACCCCCGTGATCACAGTGGCTTCCCCATCTACCTCCCGGGTGTCACAACGCTTAATCTTCACTTCTCCAAACCCCAACCGTCCAGTGTAGCAATTCACAGCATGGACTCTGCAACCAGACTACCTCGGTTAGAACCCCAGCAGTACCACTGATGAGCGGTGTGCTCAGTGAACAAGTTACTTTACTTCTCTCTGTGTCAGCTTCCTCTGTATAAAATGCAGATAACAACTGAATGTACCTTATATGGCTCTTAAAAGGATGAAATATACGTATACACAGGTGGTGCTTAGAGCAGGGACTGGCACGTAGTAAACCTCTTCCCCTTCCTCCCATTCTTCAAGGCCCATCTCTAGATGCCAGGACTCCCCTCTTCCCTTGCATCCTGATCTCCCTACCCCCAGGAAGGTTCTGGACTGAACCTTGCTTGAGTCCCCACTGTGGCTGGTCCCCACCGGGTGATGACTCAGGAAAGGACGCCTATTACTCAGCTTTGTGCTCCTGGAACCACTGGGCTCATGCCTTGCACACATCTAGTGCTGAATAAAGGTGTATTGAAAAGACACTGGCACATGAAACCCACACATGACAAGCAGAGCAGAAGGAAGAGAGAGGGCTGTAATCCTAGGCAGAAAGACTAGTGCAGGGAAGCACACTGAAAAGAAGATGAGTGGTATGCACACTGGGTAAATTAACTGCAGTCACCTGAAATGCAGACACCTTTAGTATCTTAAAATGTTCATTAGTCAATTAAACAAAGTTCAGTTGCTTTTATCTTTAATCCTTCAGAGGAACAGCCTCAAAGGCAGTGACTCTAATGTAATGGCAATAACGAAAGTGATATTAACCCAGGACTAAGGAAATCAAATTTAAAGAATGACCTAGCAGTACCCTTGCATTCACGATACCCAAAATTTTTAATTTTAAATGCTGAGATGGACTTGATATTTCTTTTAAAAGTATTTTCACATTTCACATACTAGGTGTTTAGAAAGTAAGTAAATGAATAATGTCATGCCTCTTTTTCAAATTCCTAAGTCTTACAATTTACAGAAACATATAGGAAACATTTTTTTTTTTTTTTTTTTTTTTTTTTGCGGTACATGGGCCTCTCACTGTTGTGGCCTCTCCCGCTGCGGAGCACAGGCTCCGGATGCGCAGGCTCAGCGGCCATGGCTCACGGGTCCAGCCGCTCCGTGGCATGTGGGATCTTCCCGGACCGGGGCACAAACCCACGTCCCTTGCATCGGCAGGCGGACTCTCAACCACTGAGCCACCAGAGAAGCCCAACATTTTTTTAACTGTAAAAAACAGGACTGGTGGCATTCAAAAATCATACCTATAACAAATTAGCCATATTATAGAAATATATTTGATTGTTTCCTGAAAACTGTTTCTAAATTTACAAAGTTCCCAGCTCTTAAGAATAGCAGGCCCACAAAGGTATAAATGGAATACAAACACCTGATACAACCAAACCTTTAAGGGGGAAGTGGAAAGAAGGGAATCCCACATTCAGTGAGGTCCTGTGTTACACACCTCCCCTGGGACATTAGTCTGAGCTGTGATAGCTTGACTAACAAGCAAAATGAGAAAAGGTTCCTTTATACAAAGTCAGCATGGTTTTAAAAAATGTATAGGAGGGCTTCCCTGGTGGCGTAGTGGTTGAGAGTCCGCCTGCCGATGCAGGGGACACGGGTTCGTGCCCCGGTCCGGGAAGATCCCACATGTCGCAGACCGACTGGGCCCGTGAGCCATGGCCGCTGAGCCTGTGCGTCCGGAGCCTGTGCTCCACAACGGGAGAGGCCACAACAGTGAGAGGCCCGTGTACCACAAAAAAAAAAAAAAAAAAAAAAAAAAAATGTATAGGAACACTCCAGTACCTGTTTCTACGGCTTCACCGTCAAATTCCGTACTCAGCTTCTATTTCTCCCTGCCCAAGTGAAAATAATCAGGGCTCACCTCATTCTGGGCAAAAATCTCAAGTAGTTTCAAGTCTGGACAATAAGATAATGAGGCTGACATCACTTGGGCAAAGTCTGTCACTCTCTTTCTCATCCTGCATCCTTCCTCCCCACTCAGGCCTCGGTCCTCCCCCACCTTGTAAAAGGGAAAGACCTAACTGTAGTCATTTACACTGGCTGCCCAACAAACCCAAAGCTCCTGACAAACTCATTCACGCTAACAGGAACCCCCCAAACCAGACACTGCCATTTTCAGCTTCTTAACTGTGAAATTTACTGTTTTCACCACTCTTAAAGTAGTTTCAGGCATCACAAGAAGATGGGGAGTTCGGTGGGGTGGAGGGGCTTCTGAGGGGCTTCTGAGGTCGTATGAGGCTTTCTAGACAAAGCCCAAGGTAGGGACTCAGTCATTTTCATCATTGTAAACCCACTACCGTGAAGATTGTATCGTGCCTAACAAACATCTTGTTGAAGGCAAGTACGGCCCAGTCGCATTTAGGACTCTGCAGTGACTGGGTGCTGGAGGAGGGACAGGGGAGGAAGGTGGCCACTGGGGAGCACAGCCCACTGCTCCGCCCCTGAGTCGCAGCAGGCCTTCTAGACTCAGCACAGGATTCTCTCTGGGGCAGAGCCTGGCCCTCACCATCACTTCCTCAGACTTACCATAATCTATTCTACCCTCCTTCGGCATCCAGCTACCAAGTGCAAACTTTAGGGTTTCTGAACAACTATTTTACGACGGGGATCTGTTCCATACAGTAATTCTTCTTACATGGGAACACATCCCCTTGTTTGCTGAGCAAGTTCCCCTCCGGGTACGACGGTTCTGACCAGAGGGTCCTCATCGCTGAGCTTCCTGAGAGGCCAGAGCATGGTGACTGCGGATACGGACTCTGGAACCAGCCAGCCAGCCTGCATTGACTCTCAGCTCTAAACTTATTAGTTTTAAGACCTTTGACTAGTCATTTAACCTCCCTGTGCTTCTATCTTCTCAGCTGTAAAGCGGCAGAAATAAGAGTGAGCACCTACCTGAAAGGGTTGCCATGAAAATCAAAGGAGTTATTAAGGCAGGTTGAACAGTGTCCAGCACATAATGAGCACCATTTAAATGTAAGCAATTATTATTAAAAGCTTTATCACTTTATATTACCTGATGGAAAAACCAAAGGACTTTGAATGTGTTTAGAGCAAAGCTACAACCAGGAAGTGACTGTCCTCCTTTCTCCATCTGTAAATAAGTGCAAGAAATGTTCTGCTTCCCTACAACAAACAAAGCAGGGTGGTGTGCGTAAAATAATTCACTAAATATCTACTGACAAGTTTTAAAGAAGAAAGAATATTTACTTCTTCTAACCCCTTAAAGATTTTCTACTCAGTGTCAGACAAATAAGTATCTTGCTATGTGTATTTTTCAACCTAAACAATCTTTTCCAAGCCTGGATAACAGGGATTCATAAAAGGCATGGCTGTATTTGATTCATGAGATGTGTTCCTAAAGAACTTACATAATTCAAGACTGATTATCCCCTAGTCTGGGGGTAGAGTATGGGGAAATGCATCCTCAGAATGCATAAATCTGCAGCCGTGTGCTGTATTTTTGCTTTACTGGTGCTTTTTAATATCAGCATTACCTCTAATATTTCTCAGTTGTACCTCATAAATTGACAGCAAGGCATATCATAGTGTTTTATCACATTTCTGTTCCAAAGGTACAGATTTTCAGGATGTTTTTCAGTACCAGTATTAGCATACTTGGATATTTTGAAAGCTATAATAAAGGTTTAAATTATAAGTTAATTTTAAAATAATAACACAAATGTCACCAAAATCCATGAAAAAGTTCTATAAACAACAAGCGTTCACATAGTATTGCCAAGGGTTAGTAGGTATTTCTCTTTAAAAGAAAAGGTAATGACATTGGGTAACAAAGCATTTTTATAATTCAGTTGACCTGCTGGCTTTGAAAATATGAGATGGCTTGATGCATAACTTGGGGGAATGTG